TATCCCGGCAGTTTTAAATTGATTTGTGAGTTGATGCAGAGGAGAAATAAGGAATTGAGTTGTGATATATAGATTCAAGAGTTTTCAGAAGGTACGTAATTGTCATTTAATAATCGCTCGGGTGCTAACGAACCCCAAATGTGAGCAATAAACAACGAAAATGAGGTTATAACATCATGCATCATGTGTAATAATTGCTGGGATTTTATTCTATTTTCCCTTCCTCCATCCAGATTTGGATACACAATGTTCCCTTTCCCGAGGAACGTAGCAGCAGCAATTGCAGTAGATGAAGCTGCAAGAAATATAGCAGCAGCTGTTAATAATCAGAGAATTGAAGCCAACAGGGCCCGGAATATTGAGATGAGAGAAGCTCAAGATCCATTTCATACTCTGGACGAATTTACGTTTCGAAAAAGGTTCCGGTAAGTACAATGACGACAAATATGAAATATCATCTAGCCCTAATAGTAACGACTACTATCTGGGACTAATGTGGCAAATTTTTGGAATGCCAGACTATCCAAGGACTTGACACTGTGGCTTCTGGAACGGATTGCTCCACTGCTCCCTGATGAAGGTCCAACGTCAGGGGTTCCAAAGAGAATTCAGGTGAATGGGATGTTGTTAAATTCACAATCCTTCAGTCATTAGCATTTAATTTGCAGGTTCTTGTGACATTGAAGTTTTATGCTTCTGGAGATTTCCAGATCTCCATCGGTGACTGTGAATTCTTCGGCCTATCCCAATGCATGGTCAGCCAGGTAATATCTAATGTTACCGATGCAATGACAACATTGTCAGACGAATACATTGTATTCCCTGACACAGAAGATCAATTTCGTGAAATTTCCGAAGGGTAAGTAATGTTAATTTCTCATTTAATATTAAAGTACAATTAAATTATGGAGTGGTAGAAACGTAATCAGTCTTTACAAATGTAAGTTGACAGTGATTTTCGAATTACATGTCAACCGAGCTCTTTTTTTGATAATTCTTTCCACTGATAATTTTTTTTCTTTTTTCCTGAAAACCAAAATTTTTTGGGAATATTTTCCCCATAACTGAAAGCATTGAATGATATTTGTGTATCTCTTCGGTACTGAATTTAGCAAAAGTACTGTTAATTTTTAGATTTCAAGGAAAAGTACGCTTTCCTGGTGTAGTAGGGTGCATTGATTGTATACATGTGCTAATGCGAGCCCCAGATGGAGAGCCTTGGCATTACAAGAATTACAAAGGTACTTATTCGTTGAATATTCCAGTCGCCTGTGACCACAGAATGCGTATCATGATGCACGAATCTGGCCTCAATCGAGGGTGAAAGAAAATGTGGGGAGAGTGAATCGGGAGTCTGATGGCACGTACTTTTTACTTGGTAACTAAAGCTTATAATAATACACTCGGAAATACTAACGCCATGTTATTTTCCATTGTACTGTTTTATTCCAAAATCTTCTCTGAATTCACCATACCAACACTCCATTATTTTTAGTAATTGCACTTTATTAATAGTCCCTTTCTCATCTCAGAAGAACACATAATAATCGATATTATAAACACCCTCAGCTTCTGCGTGCAACAGTTCCCTCCATTTTTTATAATTGAAATTACTTCATATATTCTGTCTAGCTTCATCGTCGGCACTGTCTGTGTCTCCATCATCCCTAAGAAACAAAAAGAGTAAAATGTTAACAAATTAAAACTCGGTAATTTAGGTGATGCTGGGTACCCACTGTCGCCCATACTCCTCATACCAATCGTCGATGCAGCCGAGAATACCCCTCAATACAGGTATACTCGTCGACCTTGCAAAACAAGATGTGCCATTGAACGAGTGTTCGGGGCCTTGAAAGGACGATTCAGATACTTGCACAAAGATCGAGTATTAGCGTACCAGCCGGAGAAAGTTATCAAGTTTTTCAAAAATTGTGCAATGCTCCACAATTTGATTATAGCAAACCGGTAAATGATACTTTATATATTACTCATTCTTCAGTTATTGTGAACAAGTTCTGTGATTTTCAATAACTCGTTAACCGCTTAGAGAACGGGGAAGAGGATGTTCTGGATGAAGACGACGACAATTATAATTTAGACCCACGCATCCTCGATTTTGATCTTGATAACGTTGCAAATGTCTAGAGGAACAGTGATTTGATTCAAGGACGTCGACTTCGAGAGTATATAATCAATGCGTACTTTGCATAATCATGATTTCAAGTTGTCGCGAATAAATGTATAAAATCCATTTTAAGAAAATTTTATTTACCTAAAGTAATCGTTAGCCGCCTTCATCATTCTCTGGTGGTAGGCATCACCCTGACTCTTAACATCGACAACTGAACTGTGCAATTCCTTATCGAAATCGAAATTATATTCGGGATCGTAAATGGGTGATGGAACGTGTTCAGTCTGCTCTTCAAAAAATGATGACAATTGTTCTGTGCTTGGTGGAGTATTTGGATGAAGTCGCAGGTGTTCAGTTGACACTAAAGGAGATTCAGGTGATACTAGACGATGCTTGCCAGGAAGAAGTGGAGTATCTGGTGGAAATTGTGTCCACTGCCATGGAACAAAGTCACTTTCTGGAAAATCTTGATATTGTGAGGATATTGGAGGTTCAGAAGATGTTGGTGAAGGATTAACATGCAATGGAGATCGTCTCTGCTGGAGTGGATTGAGCAGTGAGTTTTCGTTCAACAGGTTTGGACTTCTTGAGCACACTGAACGCGATCCCAAACAATGTGACCTCCTGGCAGGATCATTTAGCATAAATTGGTGGATATTTCCGAGAACTTTTACGACCTGGGGAAGTGCCATCAATCCCTCTGCGCAGATGGAAAGATACTGCTGCAGTAACTCGTTGAATTTCTGCGAGAATATACCCACAAAATTATTAAAATATCAACGAATGATCATAGAAACACATTTCGGCGTTAAATGTTTACCTGGGATTCATAAACACTCTCAATTGTAGCAGCTGAGACAGCATTTAAAATCGAAGAAGAAGTTTCAATTTTTTTCTCGGGTCTTGTACTTCGTGCTGTAAGGGCAAATATATCAAAAACGTATTTTACGAGGGATTCTTTGCAAAAAAAAAGCCAAGCATACGTTTTTTTGATTCAGGAGGTGAATCTTGGATCGATTTCGTCTCGACTTTCCTCTTTTTATCAGTAAATCCAGCAGTACCACCTGGGACAGTTGTACACGTTGTCGAACCCCAAATGTCGATTATGCGTTTCTCTCTATCAGTGAGCTCATCATTTGGGGTAATCTTCGGATTGCCGGTTTGTTGGTACTTACGCTCGAGGCGGCCCCATTTTAGCCAACGCATTAGTTCTAAGACGATTCCAGGCCTGCAAATTTCGACACACAATTAATACTCATTCCATGACTTTGTTGCTGACGATAATTACTCACATTTTTGCTTTGTTCTGGAGTTTTTTTATTCCCACTGACCGAAACAAAATCTGCTAATCTGTACATTTAAATTAAATTCCAACTTGATTTTTCTCCCCAATTGTTTGCAATAAATCCATTTACAATCAAATTCATTGATTACCCTTTCTCCAGTTCATTCTTCTTAATATGACCACAAACTCCCAAATCCCCATCACGTGCAAATGATGGATGTCTTGCATAGTAGTCTAGCATACGATCTATTTGCTCACTATTCATTCGCGAAGACGATGCCCTTGGTTTCCTGATAGCACCTGTCTTTGCCTTAGCTTTTGTCTTGGGGATGACTACCTCGTCACTCACATCCATGGATTCTTCCTGGGGTAATTCATCCTCAAGGTATCCGTCATCGAGGTATTCCGCATTGACGTATACCTCATCAAACTCATCAGCGTCAGGGGGATGATTAGAATGCCTAAAATGATATGGAAGTATTGAAATATGTCATGATCGAGTGAGGGAAGAGTTCAATGCAGTGATCGAAATCGTATAATCGCCCCGACATTTTTGTCATTTTTATTTTCTAATTAAACATTTGTATTGATAACATTCACTTAGCAATGATTATTAATAATGGAATACGCTCCACTCAATTTAGAGTATCACAGTATTCATCAATTATCCAAAGAGAGAGCCTAAATGACATTGGGAATGATCAATTTTCACCACGCAACAGACCTAACCAAACTATCTTAACTTTCAATGTCTAAGATATTTCAAAGTCATAGTTGGATTTTTGTTGTTTGCTACATTATATTGTCGACATATGATCTCTCATCACTGTTCTGCATAATATTATACTCACATAGCAAATCGCGATTAATAAATTCCGATACCCAAGCACAAGGGAAATACTAACAACCGGTGAAACACGTGCCAAAACGATCACTATTGTTTACATTCTTATGGGCTACAATTTCAATAATATGAATGTTTAATTGAGGTCCATGGACTGATGTGTGGACAATCGTAATAATAATAATTTTTACCATTATTTAAACCCCTAAAATGAGTCGTTGGGCAAGTATAATTGAATTTTATTAAATAGAAGTTTTTTTAGCGGGAAATTCAAATGATTTTCCTTTATAATGTTGCTGGCTCGGATGAGATAACTCCTCTTGTTAACAGTACATTATTATCATTTTTGTGGTTTGTCAGACGTGGGTTGTGAGAGAAATGATTGATGACCAACAACTCACCATCAAGGGCCAACTTTTCGCTGGCGAAATGCCATAGCGTAACAAGTAGATTCTTGATGCTTTGTGAAATGATCAAATAAGGGATTGTACAATTATGCATCCCCGAGGGAAATTCGCAATAGTCGTACATGAAAAATTTGAATTATCGCGTTTTACGACTTCCCAACATGAATGTGCACAAGGATTCTGGAAGCAATAAAAGAAAAATCAGAAGTCAACAATCCATAAGTAAATACGTCGGCTCAAGGATTTCATTATAAAATAATTATGAAATAAGAACTTTGAAAGATTACTATAAACTCACAACTAAAGTGGGAAACCATAGGAATTCCGATTCGATTTGTTTATTATTCATTGCTTTAGCTTCGGACCTAGTCATTTGAGGAAACAAAAGGAAATATTTGAAATAATTAACTCAATTGATGGAAAATAATTTGCTTATATAATTCCGAATAAACAATGGATATTGTCACTACATCCGAACATGGTTCATCATGAGAATACTTTAAAATTGGAAACCCTGCACTGATAAATTGTTACGTTCCATTACTTTACTTTTGAATAAACATTACGAAATGAGAAGAAATACGAACGATTTTTCTCTCACCAATCCCATGGAACCTCCTGGGGACTACCAACGGCTCCTTCATGGCAGTACCGGTTCACAGAAACCCATCCATAGTGAGAAGACATAATTCTGGCAAAAAAAACACAAAAGTTATGATAAAGCCAAATACCTCAGCTCTGCACTTTCAATCGTCCCTCAGAGAGAAGGCAATGTTCATAGTACCTGTCCATGATTTTTATACATCATCTATGAGAGCATTGGTGAAATGGCAAGCTTCTTGACAGCAGGTTCCATTTCTGCTTCGGGCTATAGATTGGGCACATGGTCGTGGAGCAGAAAGGTGTCGACAATGTTATTGGATCCATCCTCAACCTGGATACTCTGGGCTCAGCCTCCATGCTCGGGTGTGTTAACTCCACAAGATGATGATAGACAACAAAGTGAAGGCTACCAAGTGTACCAGATATTCTTGAAGGCTTCGCAGCCGCGTCAGAGGCTATAAAAAAAATTGCTAATGATCTATTGAACAAGAATGGAATGAAAAATTATCGGAGAATTATGAATAATTCTCCAATGAAGAGGAAAAATTAATAATTGAAAGGAAAGAGATTTTCCAATGAAGAATAATTTTTACCTGGACCGTGAATATCAACATTATTGAATTGCAAATATTTGTGGTTCTATTTGAAGATTATGGACTTGAATTACGAAAAGAAGAATCCGCCTTCAAAGAACTCTGACGTACCTGAATAACGAATCATTCTCCGTCTTCTGGAACCGTTCAATAACAAAATATTTTTGGGAGATCCAGTACCCAACTCGCAGATGAAGAAGATTCTTAAAGGATGGTTTGATCCCCAGTAATTACCACAGCATACCCGTGGCTTTACATGGTTAGGACAATAACACAAATTCTAATTACTCAGCGATTGGAGTAAAATCAATCACTTCCTAGGAATTAAACCTTGGCGATCAGCGGGAAATGAAAAAAAAAAAACATACGTACATACCAATATTAATGATGATGATACATTTTATCCTGAATTAAATGAAATATATTCTCAACTGTGCAAGTAACACATAGTACACGCTGAACACTTACCACAAATCGGAGCAAATGCTATATAACCTTCACCACTGTACAAAATCACTAACTTCAGATATTCAAATTATAACATACATTCCAATAATGAGCAACAATGCCCAAATTTGTGGTTTTGATTGTCCACTACAATTTATAATTAAATTATTAAATTTTGGAGCACGCTAATATCCACATGGTAGCCATCTTATAAGAGTCTTCCCCCTCCAGAAAACAAACGAGCAAGCGTTCCGAATTTGATGAACTGAGACGTAAACAAAACATGCACACCACCTGGTGGGAGCAAAATAATAAGTTTTTATGTCGACATAAAACGCGCAAAATCTCTCCCCTGTCACCTTGCGACACCCTCTATCAGTGTACACTCGTTTAGTGATCTTCTGAAAACATTCCGAACTTGCATCTCGGGATCAGCGAAAATCATTACTTTAGTAATATTAAAAGAAGTTTACCTGGAATCAATTGAAGTTTACTCATTTTTATTAAAATTAAAAAAACAATTTTTAATTCTTAATTATTATTAAACAATTAATTTCAAATTTATGAGTTTGATTCTTCGATTAATCGAATAATCGTCATTTTTCCGAATATGATTACTGATTTATAAAATATTTGACAAAGTAAAAAATTTAATTAGTTATTAATTTGATAAAAATGGAAAAAATTGTACAGTACAGTCAACTGATTTTGTCTACTGATTTTCTGAATGTACTGCAATAATTTCAGCTCTGCATTATAGTTTTGCCTATCTCTATTGCATCATATATATTCTGTTTCAGAACATTAATAAATAATTGTACATGTACATGTGAGTCATAATTTTCAGAAGAGTGAATTCAATTTCGGGAGAAAAATGATAATGGAGTTTCAAATTTTTCAGAAGCCGAAAGACGAGAATTCTTCAACTTACTTGAATGTCCACTCAGAACGTGAAAATTTATATTACTTGTCACGTTCTACTATTTTGATCATTAATGGAATTCCATATTGATCATAAATTTTAAACGATTTTTTTCTAGCTCCGTTACTAAATATACTTAATTTTTGAAAAAAAATTTTCTAAAATCTAGAGGATTTCTTTCTTTTTTGGAGGGGGCATTTTGTAGAGAATGGGAGGAGGGGTTGTGAATTGAGAATGGAGTCGGTGAGCTTTTCAAAAATATCTCCAAAACTAAGAAAGACGGCGAATTTTGACGAAAATTTTCGGGGGTCGAGATGGAGGCAGGGGGGTGGAGTGCATTGATAATTCACAACCAGAAAAAATGAGTCGATGCCTTTTTTAAAAATATTTCCGAAACTAAGGGACATAGTAAATTCTTACTGAAAATAGGGGGAAAGGGACATTCTATTAAATTCTCAATGTACAACCCTCCCCCGCGCCCCACTCCTCGCTATTTTTCAGTAAAAATTCGTTATGTCTTAGTTTCGGAGATATTTTTGAAAAACTCACCAACTCAATTTTTTTGGTTGTGAATTCTAAATTTAGAACCCCTCCCCCTTCCTCTCTTTGCAAAATCCCCCCTCCGCACATCTGAAATTCCCGATATTTTGGCACCCCTCGTTATGTACAGGGCACTTACGCCCTTTAAATACCTTGACCACAATTTTTTAGTTCAATCTGAAAATTTTCTAAAATTAAAAAAATATTCAGCATTTTTTTTTGAAAATTTTTGTTCTTAAAAATAATTTCCAAAATCGTTAGTTTTTATGATCCCATCGAGGATAAAGCTAAAGAATTGGAGTTTCGAAAATTGAGAAACAAGTTTCTAATGCTAATCCACTTTTGTTTCTCTGTGCTGTATCTGCCTCTCCCATTTAACCCTCAAGAGTACACGGGATTCATCCAATCACTGCCCTGTTGGACCTTTAAATATAAAGATCGCTTCGGAGAACTGCAATGTTTGCAAAATGTCGGCGCAATGCTGAAACCAAACGCAGCATTCATCCGGAAGCCAATAATATCATTAACCATGACCACGATAGCCTTAAAACTAAAATACCAACATTTTGAGAGTTTTTACAATGCTCCAACATATACAAATCTGGATTAAAAATGGAGATACGCTATTCACACAAATGATGTTAAGTTGCCGATATAATTATTTTACCATGGGGGGCTACGCCCCCTGGTCGCTCCGCTCGCCAACCCCGGGGGGGCTCCGCCCCGCCGCCCTTCTCGCTTCGTCCGCTCGCCCCTCCGGTGTGACCGAGTGGGTGTGACCGGGAGGGTTTTTCCGATAGCTCTATACATACTTTATCATAAGAGGCCATATATGTAAAATTCCCCCCCCCCC